CAGGTGAGCTCCACGATCTTAGTTGACCTCAAAGCAGATGTGCGTTTCCCTGGCCTATCCCAGCTATGACTGGGCACGACCCTCCCCCCGGGTGCACAGCCCTTTGGTGCTCATTCCCACGGCACGTGGAAGGGCCCTCCCTCTGTGTCCCCTTCCCCACCAGACGTGGGTCCTGGGAGGGCGCATCTGGCTTGCTGGATTCCCAAGCCCTGGTGCTGGGTGGGTGCCCTATAAGTCTCTGGCAAGCTGAATCATTGCTTCCTCCCTGGCAAGGCCTCACAGTCACCCCGGCTTCTTTTCCCTTCGTGCCCACGACTTCCTCCACCACCCAGGCCCTCCCACCCCCCATACAAGATGACCCCAGGCTCAGTCCTGCTCCCCGCCCTGCATCGCTGCCACTGCCCCGAGACCCACAGGCGGCAACTCGCGGTGAAGCGTGGTTTCTGCGCTCCTGGCCTCGTCCACGCAGCCCCCCACACACGGGCAGCCCCACCTAGCCTGGAGAGGACAGTGAGGTCTGCCCGAGCCTGTCTGCACATGCCCACTCTGTGCTCTCTGGGCCTCCTCTTCAGGCTCACCCAGCCCCCTCCCCTTACCCCCTGCTTGCTCATCCAACTCCTGTTTCAGGGCCAGGCTCAAAAGTCACAGGCGCTCTTGAGGCTTCTGGAATTCTGAGATGTGTCATTCCTCCCTCTTAAGGTTGTGGCGTTTAGCACTTGCCTATTCTGCTGTGTGTCATAAAGTGCTGTGTACATGATTTTCCTTCCACCTCCCTCTTCCTCTTTCTCTTCTTTCTCCTCTTCTTCCTCCATCTCCTTCTCCTCCTCTTCCTCTCCTTCTTCCTCTTTTCTTAAGAGACAGGGTCTCACTCTGTCAACCAGGCTGGAGTGCTGTGGCACAATCATAGCTTGGTGCAGTCTCCAACTCCTGGGCTCAAGTAATCCTCCCACCTTAGCCTCCTGGGTAGCAACGACTGCAGGTGCCACCACCATGCCCATCTATTTTACTGTTTTATTTTTAAAATAGAGACAAAGTCTCAGTCCCACTCTGCTGCCCAGGCTGGTCTCGAACTCCTGGGCTCAAGTGATCCTCCTGCCTCAGCCTCCTGAGTAGCAGGGACTGCAGGTGCCACCACCATGCCCATCTATTTTATTGTTTTATTTTAATTTTATTTTTTTAATAGAGACAAGGTCTCAGTCCCACTCTGCTGCCCAGGCTGGTCTTGAACTCCTGGGCTCAAGCGATCCTCCTGCCTCAGCCTCCTGAGTAGCAGAGACTACAGGTGCCATCATTATGCCCAGCTTTTTACTTTTTTATAGAGACGAGGTCTCACTATGTTGCCTAGGCTTGTCTTGAACTCCTGAACTCAAGCAATCTTCCCACCTCGGCTTCCCAAACTGCTGGGATTACAGGTGTGAGCCACCGTGCCCAGCCTTACCTTTCTTCTTCAAGGAGTTAAAAACCACTCTCAGAGAAGGGGTGTATTTGTTTCCAACTTGTATCAGAGGACAGCATCAACCATTCAAGTATATGTTCAATAAATGTCTTCTCAGTGGAACTGAACCTGCCAGCTCAGGAAGCACCTTCTCCAACTTCAGTCAAACGATCTTTCTCCCTCTGACCTCTTTTTGTAGTTAGAGACAGTAACACATTTTTTTTTTTGGAATTGGAGTCTCACTCCATCGCCCAGGCTGGAGTGCTGTGGCTCACTCACGGTCACCCCAGCGTCGACCTGCTGGGGTCAGGCAATCCTTCCGCCTCAGCCTTCCAATTAGCTGGAAATACAGGCGCGCGCTACCACGCCTGGCTAATTTTTTATTTATTGTAGAGACTAGGTCTCACCAAGTTGTCTAGGCTGGTCTCGAACCCGCGGGCTCAAGCAATCCACTCGCCTCGGCCTCCCGAACTGCTGGGATGACAAGCTGAGCCACTGAGCCCGGCCAGTAACACATTCTTTAGTCCATTAGTGCTTGATCATTTCATATGTATTTGGGTGCTCTGGGTTAGCCTGTCAGCTCACAGTGGAGACAGGCCCAATTGTTTCACACATACGGGCCTTGGCATCCACCAGTCTGGTCTCAGTGTCAGCTTGCCATTCACTGGTTGCATGACCTTTGAAAAGGTACTTACCCTTCCCAGGCTTCCGATTCTTTATGTGCAAAATGAGTTGCTTCATTGATGGTTGTTAAATAAGATAAGACCTTTCAAGCGCTTGGGCCAAGTCCTGGCACTTAGTAAGTGCTCACTAAATAGCAGCCATGTTTGGTAGTACATATAGCTTTTGTAGGATGTGCAACACCCAGCATCAGCCAAGAAGTGGCCATTGGCACTGAGGAAAAAGGCATGGAGCCTCTGCACTCTAACTCTTAGGTGCTTCTTACTCTTTAAGAAGAGACCCTGGCTGGACTCAGTGGCTCAGCTTGTCATCGCAGCACTTTGGGAGGCTGAGACAAGTGAATTGCCTGAGCCTGCGGGCTCGAGACCTAACTGGGCAACTTGGCGAGATCTCATCTCTACAATAAATCAAAAATTAGCAGGACACGGTAGTATGCGCCTGTAGTTCCGGCTCCTTGGAAGGCTGAGGCAGAAGGATCACCAGAGCCCAGCAGGTCGACACTGGGGTGGCCGCGGCCGTGAGCATGCCATGGCACTCCGACTGGGCAACAGAGTGAGACTCTGACTCAAAAAGAAGAAGAAGAAGAAGAGACCCATCATGTTAAATAAACACAGTTGGCCCTCTGTCTTGGGGCGTTCCGTACCATGAATTCAACCAACCGTGGATGGAAAATCTTTGAAAACAGCAAGGAATGGTTGTGTCTGTACTGAACATGTACGGGCTTTTTCTTTGTCATTATTCCCTAAACAATATGGTATAATAACTATGTAGCAATTACATTGTATTAGGTATTATAAGTAATCCAGTGATGATGTAAAGTATATGCAAACATTGCATCATTTTAAATAAGGGACTTGTGTATCTGCGGATTTTGGTATGGGGGAGGGGATGGTCCTGAAATCAACCAGCCTGGGATACTGAGGGGCGACTGTAATCCCACCTGCCCTCACTTTGAGTGTTATTGTTCTGGAGACAGCATCTGAACAAAAGCTCAGGCCCCCAGTTGAGCACCAGTACTAGTACAAAAATAATTATGTGAGTTTTTTTTTTTTTTTGAGACAAGGTCTCACTCTGTTGCCCAGGTTCACTGCAGCCTCAACCTCCTAAGCTCAAGAGATCCTTCCTCTGCAGCCTCCCGAGTAGCTGAAACTACAAACCACCCTGCCCAGCCAATGTTTGTATTTTTTGTAGAGACACGGTCTTGCTATGTTGCCCAAGCTGGTCTCGAACCCCTAGACTCAAGCAGTTCTCCTGCCTTGGCCTCTCAAAGTGCTGGGATTACAGAAGTGAGCCACCACTCCTGGCCAGAACTATGTGATTCTTGGGATCATGCAGGATAAAACTGGTGCTCAGAATTAGGACTAGGAGCATTTAACTCCCTTTAACACACTGTGTAAAATGAACAGATTAAAAATTTTTACTGGAGGACGGGAGTGGTGGCTCATGCCTATAATCCTAGCACTTTGGGAGGTCGTGGTGAGCAAATTGCCTGAGCCCATGAGTTCAAGATCAGCCTGGACAACTCGGCAAGACTTTGTCTCTACAGTAAACCAAAAAATTAGCCAGGCATGGTGGCGCATGCCTGTAGTTCCAGCTACTGGGAAGGCTGAGGTGGAAGGATCGCCTGAGCCCAGCAAGTGGAGGCTGTGGTGGCCATGAGCGTGGCACTGCACTCCAGCCTGGGCGACAGAGTGAGACTCCGACTCAAAAAAAAAAAAATTTTTTTTTTTACTGGAAAAGCTAAACTGCTATGAGGATCTTGGTGGAGGTGTTTGTTTTTAAGATTGTGCATAAGGTCCATTTTCTGAATATAGTTTTAGCAATATATGAGCTGATACGACGTGCATTTGTTTAGGACATTTTACCCCCAAAGTTGACATAACATACTTATAGAAAAAAATCTCGCCTCTGCCTCCCAAAGTGCTGGGATTACAAACATGAAAAAAAAAAAATAGTTTCAAAGATAAACTGTCTCAGTGGAAGCAAAGCTAATGGAAAATTGCCAACAACTAGTAATTTCTAGTGTAAATCACTCTTCCTTGGGAATGTGGAACAGAATACAAGATACAAAAGACTATGAAATTTTGTCCCCGGGTTCACAGTGCTCGGCACATAGTAGGTACTCATTAAAAATTTGTTGAATTCATAGTTGAGAGTGAGAATCTCCAAGGGTAATAGAGTTTGCCAAATGCAGTTAAGCAAATAAGAGGGGAACCCCCAAGACCCAGCTATTTAAATAATTTCCAACCCCCTCTGCTACCAACTGTAGACTACCAGGATGGGGCTGGGGGAGCACGGGGAGGCCAGACCTTTACTTCCTCAAGGTCACACACCGAGTTAATCATAAAACTGGAATCAAAAGCTGGATTCGCTGATTCAATGCAATCTTCACTGTACCACGAGTGTGTAAACCAACATACACAAAGAAGCCAAGGAGGCTATTTACTTAGTTTATATAATGTCAAACTCATGACATTTCTAAAGCAAAGTTATAAACCGTAGCAACTGCCCTAATCTTTGCGAGTCTGTGACATCTTGGCTCTGAGCAACCCCGTTGGCCAGACTCTTGCCTTGAGTTTAATGAGAGAAGAGACAGCCATTGGGTCTCTTTCCCTCTTTCCTGATAAACATGGTGGACTCCAACATGTAGGGCTGGATTAAGGACAGGCTGGCTTGGTGGAAGTTTCCGGTGCTAAGCTGTAGGGTCACCAAAGAACTGGGGACATTTAACAGGATGAAGACAACCACTGTTATTGGAACTCCTCACAAAGAGAGTGGCTTTTGTTGGAAGAAATGGTTTTATAAAGTCACAGGAAGTCCTCGCCCGACCTCTCCTTCCTCATTAAAAAGCAAAGTGAATTCACAATGGAGGGTGTCAACCTACCTGCTTCATCTAAGGGCGCGAGTCTTGATTTCAGCAAGTGGGTGAATCTGAGGAGACAACTTTGGAGCCAAAATTGAATGACCTGTGACAGTAGAGGAGGAGTTAAGTAATTAGTTAATAATTAAGACTCCTTGCCACCAGGGAACTGCCCTCTGCCCTCATAGATCTCACTTGTTCCTCCCATCAGGCTGACACAATGTTAAAGAACCACTCTTCAAAGCAGCATCAAATCATTTGGTGTTCCAGGGTGGCTTGGACTGGCTTTGCCATGACAGGGAGCAGGTCTGATACCCAGTCTTGGAGCCAGAGGGAGAAGGCGTTTTGCCTTGAGGGCCTTTGTGCCTTGATTTTCTAGTGATGAAATAGTGATGAAAAACACTATTTTTAAAAGTCTGATGGTTCTCATAAAATATATTAAAACAATACAAAACTGAAGCCCTTTTTTTGGCCAAAATTTTGACTGTCATGTTTGATGGTAGGTTACTTCGGCTCTCTGTAATTCTTGTAATAGGAAGGATTAACTGTCTTGCCCAAGAAGAAAAAAATTTAGACCATAGTGCTGTCACTTAATTATTCTCATGATCTTGCACGTTACTTATGCCCTTGAAGGCTCACTTTCTTCATTTGCATGGGGGGGGTGACATTTATTTATTGTGAATTTAAATAAGAGAGTGCTTAGAAATATTGTCAGAGTGCCTGGCATACGAGTACTCAATAAATATTATTAAATTCATTGCTAATTAGTGAATTAATAAATAATTAACAAGTGGTGGGTCATGTTGGTAATAATCTTGTAAAGATTTACATGTGCCTTTATGAAGGTGGTAAGGCATATTATAAGGTTTTGGGTTGAGAACAGCTATCTGGCTTTGAGACAGTGTACGAGTTAGATGCATACAATTTAATCAATAATTATATTAAAATTTTTCACAAGAAAGAAAAAAACAAGAAGAGTTAATGAGACTACATTCAAAGAATCTTACATAATCACACATGGCATGAAACACGTGTCATGCTTGAAACACACATTGAATCTGCAAACTGAAATTTCACAAAATCCCCCTGAGAATCTCCCTTAAGGGAGATAGCTTTAATTAAACTTCTCATGGATCCCATAGCAGCTTCTAGGAAAAGATCAGGTCCTTGAAAACACACCATGTGCTGATCTAATGCAAGCTGGTGTAGACACACGCACAAACACACAAGTATACATAATTCCACATTGCATTGATACGTTACATTTTTTGAGTAAATTACTGTAAATGTTGGGGTAAATGCTTGTAAACGTGTTTGGGTTTCGATAGTTTAGAAATACAGAAGCAAACGGAAGAGTTGGGAAATAATCAGGCAAATCCAGGTGACTGACATATCTGACATAGAAACAAACCAACCAAAAATTCACTGCCCTAGGAAGTGGCTCTCTTTCTCTCTCAAACTAACGTTGTTCTCTGAGCAACTACATAGTTCATTTGTTTTAGCGGTGGTTGGAAAATAGGCCCCAGATGGTGGACTGGAAGGGACACTGAACGAGGGCTGGGAAAATCAGCCACATGACCTTCGTGGAGACAGGCAAGTTTGTTGTCTACACTCTCAGTTTTCTCATCTGTAAAATGGCTACAAAAACCCCAGCCCTGCTGACTTCTTGAAAATGATGTGATCAACTCCCCCACTTTGCACAGAGAAAACCGAGGCGTGAAGGGACCCTCTTGAGGTCACATAGCTGATCAGTGACAGAATCAGGGCAAGACATAAAAGTCTTTTGAAGGCTTGGACTTGCTGCAGTCACAAAGCTGCCATTGAAGCAACAGAAAGGAGCCATGAGGGTTTCCTTCAGTGGCTCATGACAGCGTCTATGCTAAATCACAGTCGAGGTCATCTCGTGGCCATTAATTAAGAAATGCCTTTTGTGGTTGTACCTGTACCTTCAGCAATAACCTTTCTCTTAAAATCAAACACACTCTGTTTCATTTCTCAACAAAGGCACAAGACGTAAACAATTAACTGAGTGAATTCAGACACTGAAGTGGATTTTCAAGGACTTGACTTGCCCAAGCTAGTTTACTCCAAAGCCTAAATTAATCAGATAATTACGAATTCTCCCTTTGTTTTGTGCTGAGGAGAGTCAGTTTGTGAAAACGAACCTCGTCACAGAATAAATAGCTATTAAAAATTTTTCAAAATCCAAATCTGAACTCAAGGTGTAAGTTTCAAAGCAAACTATTTCTTTAGACATCTTCTCTAGTCATTTTTTAAAAAACTCGGTTTTCTGTAAATGTTAAAATCACTTTTGTGACTTAAAGAGGACTTTTAAAACAAATTTTTAAAGATATTAAGCTAAAACAATATTGCAGGATATTGTGAACATGATCTGTGGCATTTTTTAGTAGAAAAAAATTTAAATGCCTCTCCTGGCATGACTCAAAACAACAGTTAAGTCTTTCAGATTAAATTCTTCCTGACACACTTTAAAAATACAGTCAGTTTAGCATGGCTTTAAATAACCTCCACTTAACAACTAGCAAAGGTTTAAAATTAAACAAACAGTGCTAATTACCCTCCTAATATCAGGAGGAAAGTTTAGAAAGTAATTTAATTAACTGACTCTGAAAATTTAATTACATATGAAATGAGACTTATTAGACCTTTCCTGTCTCATCAGAATTTCTGAGTAAAGGGTAACCAGTTTTAGGGCTTATAATTTCTTTGTGGTTCAGCGAACATAAAATAGACTATTGTGCTGATGATTAAATAAATTTGCCCAAGTAAATTTAGGACTAGAACATTAAAACAAATCAGAAACAGGAAGCATACTTTTTCACTGTACTGAGTTCTAATATTTCAATGTAAAGATTTTACTGTGTGTGTGTGTGTGTGTGTGTGTGTGTGTGTGTGTGTATCTTTGAACTGACAAAGAAATAATAGTTAACTTTCACATTCAGTACAGCAATGTAATTTGATTTTTGTCATGCATTAGCTGAAGTAAAAATGTGATCAACATTCTTTATGTAACATAATAACTGTTGATTACCCACATAGTTTTCATAAACAGTTGGCAAACTGTAACTTACGACAGCTGTCACTATACATTTAAAGTAAATGTTAATTTAGGAATATTAACCTCGTGAATGTTTCTGTAAATAGGTTTGTGCAGCTTCCAGAGGTTACAGAAAATCACTTGAGTGTTTTTAGCCAGACTTGGTGCACTGTTTTTCTATTCTTCGGTTTTACACATAAAAGACTTTAATCACCATCGAATGCCTCTCAGCCATTCCTTTGAGTACACCAACTGCCTAGGGAAATGCATTTGATAGATTTACATTTTGGAGGTGAGAGAATAAATAACTAAAGAAACAGTATTGCCCGAGACATAGCTCACTCTTTTCCAGTGTTAGAAAACAAGAAAAGTATTTGCATCAAGCAAAGTTCCACGGGCCCTGTTTATTAAATAAAGTGACCTGTAAATACTCAGGGCAGTCACAGCTCACAGACCCCAGGGGCTGAAGTACTGGCTGCAAGCTCAAGTCAGTTCTGCTCTGTTTTGTCGTGTTTGTACAACTCGCTTCCAAGTAAAATCTGCATGACAGATTGCAAACCCTCTTGTACAAACTCCTAAAAACTGCATCAACTATCACAGTTACTCTGATATGCACAACTCTCAGTTCAGCTGCAGAAATGCTTGTTTCCAATTCCCAAAAGCCATCCTTAGCACACAGGCAAAACACAAACAAACAGAAAAAAAAAACAACAACAAAAAAAAACCACAGTGAAAGCAACAATAAAACAGAAAACGCGGTACCTGCCACGCACTGAGCTCCGGGCACGACCCACTCGCCAGGCAACCAAGTCTCTCCTTGGCAGCTGCACTTCTAAGCCAAACGCTCCTGCCTTCCCAAAAATGTATGTCAGCACAAGCCCAGACGAAACTTCAAATCCAGGAAAATAAAATTAACCATGCAGATCAAAGGCAGACAGGCAGGGAGATGAAACGCCTGTAATCTGATCAGTGATCAGTTGCCACACATCAAAGGCAGGGCTGAGCTGATGTGTGTGCTCTGGGAGCCAGCGAGCTCCCTCCAGCAGGTACCCACGCCACCGCCTCCCAGGCCACACATTCTTTTGTTCAACACGGATCACGTTGTGTCCCTCCTCTTTTTCTGCAGCCCGGCGATGCTGGTGGCTCTCCCAGGCTGGGACTGAGTGGCTGGCTCCGTGGCTGTTTCGGTTTCCAAGCTGTGCTGTGGCCGTGTGTGTTGGAAGCCGTGCCTAGTGCCAGCGGGTCCTGCCTTATCCCTTTCATCTGCTGAACTGCAGATCCCATGACATCATGCTGTGCCGTGGGACTGGTGGCAGAGCGGTAATTCAGCCTGTGGGGGAGTGAGCTCCAGGGAAGCCGGCGTCCGCCTGATTTACTAATCAGACCATTTGTGCCTCACACAGGACGGTTTCTGTTATCTGTCCCCCAGCTGGATAGGACAGCCACTGCTGCTGGCTGCTTCTCGGGAGATAAGATCCCTGACCCACAGCATTTAATGGCCTCTGCTCGGATAAAAATCACAATTTCCTGAAGACTGGGTGTCAAATATTCAGAATAGTTGAATCCAATTTCCTAAAGACTGGGTGTCAAATATTCAGAAGAGTTGAATCAACCATGGGACCCATCAGAAAAACACCTAAGAACACTGCCAGATAGACTGGATAACATTTTTAAATGTTGTTTTTGTTTTCAAAATGGCAAAATTTTAAGGATTTTAGGTGAACTTCCTTTCCCTTGAATCATAGCTTATTAGGATCTGACTGCCGATCGAACAGTGGTGTTATAATCAAAACACTGTAGTTACATGGCAGATAACCAACAGTTTATCAGTCAACTGCTATCTGCCACCATCTCACTGAAGAAGACCTTGGGTGGAGACTTAATCTTAGCCTCCACCTTAGTTTGGGATTCTGAAAAGTAGCTTTTAAAGCAACGTCTAGTTGTTAGATGTAATTTATTAATATTTACTGAGCATTTTAAACTTCACAAAAGAAAATATTATGTAGAGAAAAGCA